CTTTGCCCCCACTGTGGCTGGTACAAGCCAAGTGCCCTTGGCCTCCTGCCCACCTGGGCACACCTGGGCTCATGTCCAGCCTCTGTCACAGCACCCCCAGGCTCCTTTCCAGCTCTGCACCCTCTGCCCCAGCCTGGAGTGCTGCAGGGGTTGGTGTGAGCCCAGTTACCACAGGTTAAAAGTGAAGCTGCTCACATTGGGAAGGCTCTGCACGCTGGCAGGAGGGACTCTGGCATTTGCCCACAGGGTTTGTCTCCCCAGTTTGCTGTTGTTGGAGGTTCTGAGCTGCTGAGGTGGTGCAGAACAGTTCCTGATCCCAGCCCCAGGATTTGCACTTCCTGCAGAAGGGAAAACATGAGATGAAGCAGGAAAATGGTGAGGACAAAGAACAGAGTCACACACTCAACACTCGTTCCCGTGCCATTTCTCTCCCACACTTTCACCCTCATTTGACTATGCTCACTCCCTTCAGTTCCTTCTCACCCCTCAATCTCCCTCCTCTCCTTCCCTCCCTTGCAGGGGGTGACACCCTGGGGCAGGAGGGTGGCACCTACTCTGCACAGTGGTGTGTGTGATGGGGTTGTACATGGCCACGGTGACCTGTGGCCTGAGCACAGCTTCCCTCTGGCTGGATCCCGTGGGCTGCATCCCAGCTGGGGCTCCAGCCTGCACAGCTGGAGGGTTCAGGGCAGGAGGGGTTGGTTCCCTCTGGCCCTTCCTGGTGGGTACAGGCACAGAGCTGGAGTCTGGGAGGAGTGTGCTGGATTCAGACAGGCTTGGCTGAGTGCTTTTTCCCTGCCCTTGCTCCTTGGGAAGGCTCTTTGGTTTCTTTTCAAGGATCATCTGCAGAGAGGAAAGGCTGGTGAGGCTCAATGCAGTAGTGACACAGCAAAGGAACAAACAGTGAAGCAACACAAGTACTTCTCAGCATCTGCAATCTGTTTCACAGGGTGGGTAACAGGACAGTTGTGTAACTAGATGGTCCTCAAGGTCCCTTCTGACTGACACCACTCTGTGATTCCATGATCCCAAGACTGTTGGATCCAGTGTAATGTATTTCCTTCTAGCCCAGTCTTTCTCAGACATCTGAGAGACTTGTCCCACTGGGAATTTAGGCTTTTCACTGACTATGCCAGTGTGGAACTGCCTGATCTACCCCAGGGGGCAGCTGTATGGACAGCCCAGGGGAATACAGAGAGAGCCCAAGGGCAGAAGTGAAGAGTGTGGAGGAATGGCAGGTTACCTGGAGCATTCAGATGTGGGAAAACAGGGTAGGAGGAAGTACCTCGTACAGCTTATTTCGGTACTCTGCCACAGAGAGCTGGACATCATCCCCCAGGGGAAGGACCACATCATAGTCCAGGGAGGGCTCCCTGGCAGGACAGTGGAACCTGAGGAGATGAGAACACATCATGCCACTCACTGGCTGAGGTTCATGAAGCCTAAACAATCTCCTGGACATCAGAGAAAATGAAGAGTTATCTCTGCCTTTTTTCTCTCTAATGTGCTCAAAGAAAATGTATAGAATCACAGAATCCTAAAATCAACCAGGTTGGAAAAGACCT